TCCCCCCCCCCTTCTCCCTCTCTCTCTCCCCCCCCTCTCTCTCTCTCTCTCTCTCAGGATAACTGTCGCCGGGCGGACAACATGCTGCGTCTGTGGATCATCGAGGCTAAAGACCTTCCTCCGAAGAAGAAGTATTTCTGCGAGCTGTGTCTGGACGACGTTCTCTACGCTCGCACCACCAGCAAGCCCCGCAACGAGAGCCTCTTCTGGGGCGAACACTTCGACTTCAGCGGCCTCCCGGCTCTCCACAGCATCACCGTGCACGTGTACCGAGACCATGACAAGAAGAAGAAGAAGAAGGTCAGGCACCTTCCTACCTCAAATATATTTTAATCCTCTATAGAGAGGTGCAGGAATGAGTCCTAAAACCAGGAAGTGAGTCAGCATTTCTCCACTTCCTGTTCCCTGGTCTCAGAGCCAATGGGATCTCTCCATAGGATGTTTGAAAATATCTGTAAATAAGGTCTGTGGTTGAGACACATTGAAGAGACGGATCACGTTTTGTTCTAGGACATTAAATCCATCAGCAGTGACCCCACTGGTGATTTCTGAAGAGTTGACGTGTCTGAGAAGCGATGGTTGTTACCAAGTGGCTGAATAGGACTACAGAAGTCGTGGACGTTGTACGTCATTACGCCGAACACGTGAACACTCCTCTAAGTTAGTTAGCCCTGTTCTGCTTGAAAGCAAGTACCTGCCTCCTGCTAACTGTTCAAACAAACGCTTCAACTCGTACCATTTAGAATCTGTGTGTTTGAATATGGATCTTAAAGGGGATCTGTCATGCAAAATGCACTTTTGTACGTCATTTAAATATAGCATGATAGGTTTCCTTGAAGTTGGCGTGACGTTGAAGTCGTGCTGCTGGACTCGGCTGTAGTTCCTTTATAGCATAACGTTAGCATTTAGCTTCTGGACTTTAGATTTATGATTCAAACATTATAAAAGTAGGGTAGACGTGTGGAGATTATCCGGCTGAACAAAACGTGCATTTATCAAACAGGTTAGTTTTCCACAGATCTTATTTTTTATAATATTCCTAAATCCTCTGGAGAAACCCCGTTGGCTCTGAGACGAGGGAACCAGCAGCTTCCTTCAGGGTGGGACTACAGACACACGTCATCACTGCTCCGCTCTGTTGCCCCGCTAGAACGTTAGTCTACTCGTCTGTTAGTGGAGCCCAGAGATAGGACTTTATTTATCCTGAAGGAAATAGTATAGGAAAAATAGAATAAACTCAGCAGCAGCATAATAAAACTGTACACTAACAGTGCAGTAAGAAGAGCAATTACATATCTACAGGAAACATAGATGGTGAGAGAGTTCATGTAAATATTAACAGTGTTTAATATTGCAAAGATACGTAAATCTGATCAGCTGATTTTCAGACAGGTTTTTATATAAATGGATCAGATATATATATATATATATGACACAGTAGTATTCATGTGTTAATGAGACCACTTTTCAAATAAATTCAGTCGATTAAAGTTGGAAACATTTTCTAACAAATCTTAGTTGATAAGAAAAAAGCCCAATAACTTATTTTCACAACAAGCTTGAAATATACCCTCCCTATTTCCTCTTATTATAATCCCTCTGAGGATCTGTTGTGAGGGATGAGCTGCTAACACTCACAAGCATCATTGACCTACATGTGATTGATTTTGCTAACTTATAACAGAGCTTACGAGGCGATATTCTTCTAGTGAGCGGCCCAGCTCTCGGACCCCCCGGATCTACCTGGTGATAAACCTGATTCTGATTTGATTTGCAGAACAACTACGTGGGTCTGGTGAACATCCCGGTGTCCGGCGTGACGGGGCGTCAGTTCGTGGAGCGCTGGTACCCCGTCAGCACCCCCACCCCCGTCAGCAAGGCCAGGGGTGGGGGGGGGCCGTCCATCCGGATCAAGTCCCGCTACCAGAGCGTCAGCATCCTCCCCATGGAGCAGTACAAGGAGTTCGCTGAGTTCATCACCAACAACTACTCCATGCTGTGCTCCGTGCTGGAGCCGGTGATCAGCGTCAGGAACAAGGAGGAGATGAGCAGCGCGCTGGTGCACATCCTGCAGAGCACCGGGAGGGCCAAGGTCAGCAGCCAATCAGGGGAGGGGAGGGGGGTCGGCAGCCAATCAGGGGAGGGGGGAGTCCAAAGGTCAGCAGCCAATCAGGGGAGGGGAGGGGGGGTCAGCAGCCAATCAGGGGAGGGGAGGGGGGGTCGGCAGCCAATCAGGGGACGGGGGAGTCCAAAGGTCAGCAGCCAATCAGGGGACGGGAGGGGGGGGGCAGCAGCCAATCAGGGGAGGGGGGAGTCCAAAGGTCAGCAGCCAATCAGGGGAGGGGAGTGGGGGTCAGCAGCCAATCAGAGGAGGGGCTCAGTTACTATCCGGGTCCAATCAGAGGAGGGGCACAGTCACTTTTAGGGTCAGCAGCCAATCAGAGGAGGGGCACAGTCACTTTTAGGGTCAGCAGCCAATCAGAGGAGGGGCACAGTCACTTTTAGGGTCAGCAGCCAATCAGAGGAGGGGCTCAGATTCTGTTAGGGTCCAATCAGGAGCCTGCTCTCAGAGGAGGGGCTCTGTCAATTTTAGGGTCAGCAGCCAATCATACGCCTTTCACACCAAGGCTTTTCCCGTTCTAGCTCCTCCAGAGCTTTTCTGGTTCAGAACCGGTTCTTCGGTTCAGCTCCCGCTCTGTTCACACCGCTCAGAGCCCACGTCACCGTTTACATCGCTGATTTTCTCCCCAACGGAGCTCACAACAACAACAACAACAACAACAACAACGGGGGGGGGACTGCGTCGGGTCGATGATCGTGTTGCTTTTAATCATACGAAGCCAGATTAAATTAAATAACGACTTCTCCAACCTTATACTTTTCTCCAGAGTGCCGTGGTTCATTGTTTATTAATGTGTTTCATTTAGCGACCGCTGCAGTGCTGGCTGCTCTTCAACGGGAGTGTATTCTCCCGTTAGCTCCGGGTTAGCTCACACGGCTCTAAAGTATTCACTGTCTGACTGTCACACAAGCAGCTGATACATATCCCCAGTTCCCCTTAAGTGAATGTGTGTCAGTCTGAATTGACGCTGTTTGGCATCACAACGCTGTTATGAAAGTTTCTCTGGTATAACATGGGTGATGTTAGCATAGCAACCGAAGCTAAACTGACTACTTGCTAAGCCGTTTTCTACAGGCACTTTTTACCGGCGTATTTTTCATTATGATTCTACTTGTGATAGTCGGACATGACAACCTGTGCAGCCCATGTATTGATTCCATCCGATAGCTGCTATAATAACAAACGTCTGCCTGCTCTCCACAATGACCAATAACAGCGAACGGATGGTCAAAGTAAGGTACAAATAAACAGAATCACACGAAGCCTGGTTAGTGTTGCCTGGCTTTATAAAGTGTGTTTTTTTTTTACAAGTGTGTGGTTGCGTTCTAGTCACTTTGCTCAGCACTACTGCTTGTTACAACTTTTATTTGCCGTACTCGCCTTAACTGTTAGCTCAGGTTAATCTCGCCCCCCTCCGACGTAAGCGTGACGTAAGCGGTTCTTGCTTCTAGACGGACAACTTTTTGGTGCTCGAAACGAACCGGGTTTCGGAGCTTAGAGGCTGCTCCGCTGCGGTGTGAACAGGAAAAACCGGTGCTTTTCAAGCTCCAGCTCCGAACCGGCCCTGGAACCGCGTTGGTGTGAAAGGGGTATCAGAGGAGGGGCTCTGGTACTCTTATGGGGCAGAAATTAATTATTTAAGAGCAGCGGGAGGGGATCATTTTTTTGCATTAAATTATAAGAAATGTACGAATTCTGAGATAATTCAATCAGAAATGTAAAAAAATCTCAGAGAGTAAACCTAGAATGTTCTCTAAGATAATAAAGCCTTCCTCCTGCTCCTCCTCCTCTTCCTCAGGACTTCCTCACTGACCTGGTGATGGCGGAGGTGGACCGCTGTGCAGACGTTCTGATCTTCAGGGAGAACACGCTCGCCACCAAGTCCATCGAGGAGTTCCTGAAGCTGGCGGGACAGAAGTACCTCCACGACGCGCTCGGTGAGATCCGCCTCCAACACGCAGTCCAGCTGTGTGCGCCACTCTTTAGTGTCCCCTGGTCTCCCAGCTGTGTGCGTCACTCTTTAGTGTCCCCTGGTCTCCCAGCTGTGTGCGTCACTCTTTAGTGTCCCCTGGTCTCCAAGCTGTGTGCGCCACTCTTTAGTGTCCCCTGGTCTCCCAGCTGTGTGCGCCACTCTTTAGTGTCCCCTGGTCTCCCAGCTGTGTGCGTCACTCTTTAGTGTCCCCTGGTCTCCCAGCTGTGTGCGCCACTCTTTAGTGTCCCCTGGTCTCCCAGCTGTGTGCGCCACTCTTTAGTGTCCCCTGGTCTCCCAGCTGTGTGCGCCACTCTTTAGTGTCCCCTGGTCTCCCAGCTGTGTGCGCCACTCTTTAGTGTCCCCTGGTCTCCCAGCTGTGTGCGCCACTCTTTAGTGTCCCCTGGTCTCCCAGCTGTGTGCGCCACTCTTTAGTGTCCCCTGGTCTCCCAGCTGTGTGCGCCACTCTTTAGTGTCCCCTGGTCTCCCAGCTGTGTGCGTCACTCTTTAGTGTCCCCTGGTCTCCCAGCTGTGTGCGTCACTCTTTAGTGTCCCCTGGTCTCCCAGCTGTGTGCGTCACTCTTTAGTGTCCCCTGGTCTCCCAGCTGTGTGCGTCACTCTTTAGTGTCCCCTGGTCTCCCAGCTGTGTGCGTCACTTTTAGTGTCCCCCTGGTCTCCCAGCTGTGTGCGTCACTCTTTAGTGTCCCCTGGTCTCCCAGCTGTGTGCGTCACTCTTTAGTGTCCCCTGGTCTCCCATCTGTGTGCGTCATCTCTTTAGTGTCCCCTGGTCTCCCAGCTGTGTGCGTCACTCTTTAGTGTCCCCTGGTCTCCCAGCTGTGTGCGTCACTCTTTAGTGTCCCCTGGTCTCCCAGCTGTGTGCGTCACTCTTTAGTGTCCCCTGGTCTCCCAGCTGTGTGCGTCACTCTTTAGTGTCCCCTGGTCTCCCAGCTGTGTGCGCCACTCTTTAGTGTCCCCTGGTCTCCCAGCTGTGTGCGCCACTCTTTAGTGTCCCCTGGTCTCCCAGCTGTGTGCGTCACTATTTAGTGTCCCCTGGTCTCCCAGCTGTGTGCGTCACTCTTTAGTGTCCCCTGGTCTCCCAGCTGTGTGCGCCACTCTTTAGTGTCCCCTGGTCTCTGCTGGAGATGGTTCTTCATGAGGAACGTTTGGGTTTATTTCGGCTTCTTCACGTCGACCTTTCATCAGATTTAAAGTCTTTGTTCATTATTTTTAGGGACTAAAATGAGATCTCATGATGTCTTCTCTCCTCCTGTTTGAATGAACTGAAAACATCTCAGAGTTGAAATCTCCTGAGAGAAGACAGACCCAGGAGACGTGCTGCCACCAGGCTTCATAACTCAGGCTATTATTAGCAGCAGCACAAACATTCCTCTTGTATTTATAGTTCTGCGTCTGGAAATAGAAACCGCTCTGCTGTGTTCTATTTAGACAGGACTCATTGTAGATGTACTCGTTAGAGCGACTCGTTAGAGCGACTCGTTAGAGCGACTCGTTGTTAGAGCGACTCGTTAGAGCGACTCGTTAGAGAGACTCGTTGTTAGAGAGACTCGTTGTTAGAGAGACTCGTTAGAGAGACTCGTTGTTAGAGAGACTCGTTAGAGAGACTCGTTAGAGAGACTCGTTGTTAGAGAGACTCGTTAGAGAGACTCGTTGTTAGAGAGACTCGTTAGAGAGACTCGTTGTTAGAGAGACTCGTTAGAGAGACTCGTTGTTAGAGTGACTCGTTAGAGCGACTCGTTGTTAGAGTGACTCGTTAGAGCGACTCGTTGTTAGAGAGACTCGTTAGAGAGACTCGTTGTTAGAGAGACTCGTTGTTAGAGAGACTCGTTGTTAGAGAGACTCGTTAGAGAGACTCGTTGTTAGAGAGACTCGTTAGAGAGACTCGTTAGAGAGACTCGTTGTTAGAGAGACTCGTTAGAGAGACTCGTTGTTAGAGTGACTCGTTAGAGCGACTCGTTGTTAGAGAGACTCGTTAGAGAGACTCGTTGTTAGAGAGACTCGTTAGAGCGACTCGTTAGAGCGACTCGTTAGAGTGACTCGTTAGAGCGACTCGTTGTTAGAGAGACTCGTTAGAGCGACTCGTTAGAGCGACTCGTTAGAGTGACTCGTTAGAGCGACTCGTTAGAGTGACTCGTTAGAGAGACTCGTTGTTAGAGAGACTCGTTAGAGCGACTCGTTAGAGCGACTCGTTAGAGCGACTCGTTAGAGTGACTCGTTAGAGCGACTCGTTGTTAGAGAGACTCGTTAGAGAGACTCGTTAGAGAGACTCGTTGTTAGAGAGACTCGTTAGAGAGATTCGTTGTTAGAGAGACTCGTTAGAGAGACTCGTTGTTAGAGAGACTCGTTAGAGAGACTCGTTAGAGAGACTCGTTGTTAGAGAGACTCGTTAGAGAGACTCGTTAGAGAGACTCGTTGTTAGAGAGACTCGTTAGAGAGACTCGTTGTTAGAGAGACTCGTTAGAGAGACTCGTTGTTAGAGAGACTCGTTAGAGAGACTCGTTGTTAGAGTGACTCGTTAGAGCGACTCGTTGTTAGAGTGACTCGTTAGAGCGACTCGTTGTTAGAGAGACTCGTTAGAGAGACTCGTTAGAGAGACTCGTTAGAGAGACTCGTTGTTAGAGAGACTCGTTAGAGAGACTCGTTGTTAGAGAGACTCGTTAGAGACTCGTTAGAGAGACTCGTTGTTAGAGAGACTCGTTAGAGAGACTCGTTGTTAGAGAGACTCGTTAGAGAGACTCGTTAGAGAGACTCGTTGTTAGAGAGACTCGTTAGAGAGACTCGTTAGAGAGACTCGTTGTTAGAGAGACTCGTTAGAGAGACTCGTTGTTAGAGAGACTCGTTAGAGAGACTCGTTGTTAGAGAGACTCGTTAGAGAGACTCGTTGTTAGAGTGACTCGTTAGAGCGACTCGTTGTTAGAGTGACTCGTTAGAGCGACTCGTTGTTAGAGAGACTCGTTAGAGAGACTCGTTGTTAGAGAGACTCGTTGTTAGAGAGACTCGTGTTAGAGAGACTCGTTAGAGAGACTCGTTGTTAGAGAGACTCGTTAGAGAGACTCGTTAGAGAGACTCGTTGTTAGAGAGACTCGTTAGAGAGACTCGTTTTAGAGTGACTCGTTAGAGCGACTCGTTGTTAGAGAGACTCGTTAGAGAGACTCGTTGTTAGAGAGGACTCGTTAGAGCGACTCGTTAGAGCGACTCGTTAGAGTGACTCGTTAGAGCGACTCGTTGTTAGAGAGACTCGTTAGAGCGACTCGTTAGAGCGACTCGTTAGAGTGACTCGTTAGAGCGACTCGTTAGAGTGACTCGTTAGAGTGACTCGTTGTTAGAGAGACTCGTTAGAGCGACTCGTTAGAGCGACTCGTTAGAGCGACTCGTTAGAGCGACTCGTTGTTAGAGAGACTCGTTAGAGAGACTCGTTAGAGAGACTCGTTGTTAGAGAGACTCGTTAGAGAGACTCGTTGTTAGAGAGACTCGTTAGAGAGACTCGTTGTTAGAGAGCCTCGTTAGAGAGACTCGTTAGAGAGACTCGTTGTTAGAGAGACTCGTTAGAGAGACTCGTTAGAGAGACTCGTTGTTAGAGAGACTCGTTAGAGAGACTCGTTGTTAGAGAGACTTGTTAGAGAGACTCGTTGTTAGAGAGACTCCGTTAGAGAGACTCGTTGTTAGAGTGACTCGTTAGAGCGACTCGTTGTTAGAGTGACTCGTTAGAGCGACTCGTTGTTAGAGAGACTCGTTAGAGAGACTCGTTAGAGAGACTCGTTAGAGAGACTCGTTGTTAGAGAGACTCGTTAGAGAGACTCGTTGTTAGAGAGACTCGTTAGAGACTCGTTAGAGAGACTCGTTGTTAGAGAGGACTCGTTAGAGAGACTCGTTTGTTAGAGAGACTCGTTAGAGACTCGTTAGAGAGACTCGTTGTTAGAGAGACTCGTTAGAGAGACTCGTTAGAGAGACTCGTTGTTAGAGAGACTCGTTAGAGAGACTCGTGAGAGAGACTCTGTTGTTAGAGAGACTCGTTAGAGACTCGTTAGAGAGACTCGTTGTTAGAGAGCCTCGTTGTTAGAGAGACTCGTTAGAGATCGTTTAGAGCGACTCGTGGTAGAGAGACTTCGTTAGAGAGACTCGTTGTTAGAGAGACTCGTTAGAGAGACTCGTTAGAGAGACTCGTTGTTAGAGAGACCGTTGTTATGAGAGACTCGTTGTTAGAGAGACTCGTTAGAGAGACCGTTGTTAGAGAGACTCGTTTAGAGAGACTCGTTAGAGAGACTCGTTGTGAGAGAGACTCGTTAGAGAGACTCGTTGTTAGAGTGACTCGTTAGAGCGACTCGTTAGAGAGACTCGTTGTTAGAGAGACTCGTTAGAGCGACTCGTTAGAGCGACTCGTTAGAGTGACTCGTTAGAGCGACTCGTTGTTAGAGTGACTCGTTAGAGCGACTCGTTAGAGCGACTCGTTAGAGTGACTCGTTTAGAGCGACTCGTTAGAGTGACTCGTTAAGAGAGACTCGTTGTTAGAGAGACTCGTTAGAGCGACTCGTTAGAGCGACTCGTTAGAGCGACTCGTTAGAGTGACTCGTTAGAGCGACTCGTTGTTAGAGAGACTCGTTAGAGAGACTCGTTAGAGAGACTCGTTGTTAGAGAGACTCGTTAGAGAGATTCGTTGTTAGAGAGACTCGTTAGAGAGACTCGTTGTTAGAGAGACTCGTTAGAGAGACTCGTTGTTAGAGAGACTCGTTAGAGAGATTCGTTGTTAGAGAGACTCGTTAGAGAGACTCGTTAGAGCGACTCGTTGTTAGAGTGACTCGTTAGAGCGACTCGTTAGAGTGACTCGTTGTTAGAGAGACTCGTTAGAGCGACTCGTTAGAGCGACTCGTTGTTAGAGAGACTCGTTAGAGAGACTCGTTGTTAGAGAGACTCGTTAGAGCGACTCGTTAGAGAGACTCGTTGTTAGAGAGACTCGTTAGAGAGACTCGTTGTTAGAGAGACTCGTTAGAGCGACTCGTTGTTAGAGTGACTCGTTAGAGCGACTCGTTAGAGCGACTCGTTGTTAGAGAGACTCGTTAGAGAGACTCGTTGTTAGAGAGACTCGTTAGAGCGACTCGTTAGAGCGACTCGTTGTTAGAGTGACTCGTTAGAGCGACTCGTTAGAGAGACTCGTTGTTAGAGAGACTCGTTGTTAGAGAGACTCGTTAGAGCGACTCGTTAGAGCGACTCGTTGTTAGAGTGACTCGTTAGAGCGACTCGTTGTTAGAGTGACTCGTTAGAGCGACTCGTTGTTAGAGTGACTCGTTAGAGTGACTCGTTGTTAGAGTGACTCGTTGTTAGAGTGACTCGTTAGAGCGACTCGTTAGAGCGACTCGTTGTTAGAGTGACTCGTTAGAGTGACTCGTTGTTAGAGTGACTCGTTGTTAGAGCGACTCGTTGTTAGAGCGACTCGTTGTTAGAGCGACTCGTTGTTAGAGCGACTCGTTGTTAGAGCGACTCGTTGTTAGAGTGACTCGTTAGAGTGACTCGTTAGAGTGACTCGTTGTTAGAGTGACTCGTTAGAGCGACTCGTTAGAGCGACTCGTTGTTAGAGTGACTCGTTAGAGCGACTCGTTGTTAGAGTGACTCGTTAGAGCGACTCGTTGTTAGAGCGACTCGTTGTTAGAGCGACTCGTTGTTAGAGCGACTCGTTGTTAGAGTGACTCGTTAGAGTGACTCGTTGTTAGAGTGACTCGTTGTTAGAGAGACTCGTTGTTAGAGCGACTCGTTGGAGAGACTATTAAGCAACTGTATAAATCTTCAGCGTCCAGGAGTACGCCAGTGAGACGTATTTAAAATCTCTGTGTGTGTGTGTGTGTGTGTGTGTGTGTGTGTGTGTGTGTGTGTGTGTGTGTGTGTGTGTGTGTGTGTGTGTGTGTGTGTGTGTGTGTGTGTGTGTGTAGGGGAGTTCATCAGGGCTCTCTATGAGTCAGACGAGGTGTGTGAGGTGGATCCGAGTCGCTGCAGCAGCTCTGAACTCGCTGAACATCAGAGCAACCTGAAGATGTGCTGCGAGCTGGCCTTCTGCAAGATCATCAACTCATACTGGTACACACACACACACACACACACACACACACACACACACACACACACACACACTCTGCTCTTTGTCTCCTTGTCTCCTCAGTGTGTCTCTCTCAGTGTGTGTGTGCTCTGTGTCTCTCTCAGTGTGTCTCTCTCAGTGTGTTTCCTCTCCTTGTCTCCTCAGTGTGCTCTTTGTCTCCTTGTCTCCTCAGTGTGTTCCCTCTCCATGTCTCCTCAGTGTGTCTCTCTCAGTGTGCTCTTTGTCTCCTTGTCTCCTCAGTGTGTTCCCTCTCCATGTCTCCTCAGTGTGTCTCTCTCAGTGTGCTCTTTGTCTCCTTGTCTCCTCAGTGTGTTTCCTCAGTGTGTTTCCTCTCCTTGTCTCCTCAGTGTGTTCCCTCGGGAGCTGAAGGAGGTGTTCTCTTCGTGGCGGCAGCAGTGTGAGGCGCGCGGCCACCAGCAGGACATCAGCCAGCGTCTGATCAGCGCCTCGCTCTTCCTCCGCTTCCTGTGTCCCGCCATCATGTCTCCCTCTCTGTTCGGCCTGATGCAGGAGTACCCCGACGACCGCACCTCGCGCACCCTCACCCTCATCGCTAAGGTCATCCAGAACCTCGCCAACTTCACCAAGTGAGTCCGTCTGCAATTAAGCTATTGTCAACATATGCTATTTATCTCAACTTATGTTGTACGATGTTTTGTCTTGTGTAACCATTAGCCAATCAGCAACCAAGGTAACCCCCCCCCCCCCCTTATCACCTGAATCTCCTCCTAGAGCACCATTGAGTTCTTTGTAACCAAATGTCTCTCAGAGGGGCGTGGGGAGGGGCTCCTTATTTTCATCTAAAGTAACAGACAGAGAATCAGCACTTTGGAAACAGGGCTGAAACAGAGGGGATTATGGGTAATGCTGCAATGATCTGTTTGGTGTTTCAGCCAATCAGAGACAGGCTCTGAATATATCTGAGACCTTTAAGACATAGGAGGTAGGATAATGAAGTGTGTGTGTGTGTGTGTGTGTGTGTGTGTGTGTGTGTGTGTGTGTGTGTGTGTGTGTGTGTGTGTGTGTGTGTGTGTGTGGTGTGTGTGTGTGTGTGTGTGTGTGTGGTGTGTGTGGTGTGTGTGTGTGTGTGTGTGTGTGGTGTGTGTGTGTGGTGTGTGTGGTGTGTGTGTGTGTGTGTGTGTGTGTGTGTAGGTTTGGAAACAAGGAGGAGTACATGGCCTTCATGAACGACTTCCTGGAGCACGAGTGGGCGGGGATGATACGTTTCCTGTCGGAGATCTCTAACCCCGAGACGCTGTCCAACACGCCGGGGTTCGAGGGGTACATCGACCTCGGAAGAGAGCTGTCGGTGCTGCACGGGCTGCTGTGGGAGGTGGTGTCCCAGCTGGACAAGGTCAGTGTGTGTGTGTGTGTGTGTGTGTGTGTGTGTGTTGCTCGTCTGTGTGTGTGTGTGTTGCTCGTCAGTGTGTGTGTGTGTGTGTGTGTGTGTGTTGCTCGTCAGTGTGTGTGTGTGTGTGTGTGTGTGTGTGATGTAACATGTATGCAGCACCTCAGTTCATCTCACCACATTAACGCTGCCTCGCTAAACTTCACAGCATGTCCCCCGTCCTAACCCGTCCCCCCTCCTAACCCGTCCCCCCTCCTAACCCGTCCCCACTCCTAGGCTGCCCCCCTCCTACCCCGTCCCCCCTCCTAACCTGTCCCCCCTCCCTAACCCGCCCCCCCTCCTAACCTGTCCCCCCTCCTACCCCGTCCCCCCTCCTGACCCGTCCCCCCTCCTAACCCGTCCCCCCTCCTGCCCCGTCCCCCCTCCTAACCCTTCCCCACTCCTAAACTGCCCCCCTCCTAACCCGTCCCCCCTCCTACCCTATCCCCCTTTCCTACCCTGTCCCCCCTCCTAACCCCGTCCCCCCTCCTACTCCCTCCCCCCTCCTAACCCGTCCTCCTCCTAACCGGTCCCCCCTCCTAACCCCTCCCCCCTCCCCGTCCCCCCCTGCTGTGTTTTTGTTCAGTAGAAGCATGTCGTTGTAGTTTTTGATTTTCCATGAAGTTTCCCCTTATGTTTTTTCTTTCCCTCCTCCTGTTCACTTCCTGTCTGGCCGACTCTCTGTTCCGCTGTCCCTCCACCACCAATGCATCCTGGTGCTTCCACACACACACACACACACACACACACACACACACACACACACACACATGCACACACACACACACACACACACAAACACTCGACGACCCCAGGGTGAAAATTCCTTCCTGCAGGCCACCGTAGCGAAGCTGGGCCCGCTGCCGAGGATTCTGGGAGATATTTCCCGCTGCCTGGCCTCTCCTGTGCCTCAGCAGCCGATCAGACGCTTCCAGGACCAGAACTCAGGCAACCTGAGCGGCAGCCTCTCCTCCGGCCTGCAGCGCATCTTTGAGGACCCCAACGACAGGTAACTGTTTGAGAACTCTCACTGGTCCCCGGCTTGAGCTTCAATCTCAGGATCCATGTATCTGTGATCCTCTCCAGAATGGAAGTAGTCATCACATACAGAGCATCAACTAGTTCCTGAACAGTGTCCTTCACATGCTGATATCCAAGAGAGGGAGTTACACAGTCACAAGATGGAGGAATAGAAAGCAGTATTCAATGTTTACTTCAGATTAGCTCCACGTCAGAAATGAGCATGCTTGTCATATGTCTCTCTCCATAGAGGCTGAATCAACATGTTAATCACATAGCTATCATATGCCTCAAACAGTCCTGATGCTCTTCAAGGTAATCATACATCCTGTCATGTTCACAGCTACAGTTGGGATACCTTTGGTATCATGTGACTCTGATATCAGCCCTAGAATGATCTGTTTGGTATTTTGAGCAAAACACTTCATAGACATGTTTTTATATATCTAAGAACTATAATATATGCCTACAAATAGTATAATAGGAGACCTTCAACTACAGATAGGTTAACCTCTGACCTCCCTCTCTTCTCTGTCGCAGTCGAAGGGACCCCCCCCCCCTGCAGCTTACTGTCTCTGATCTGATGGAGGGTCGCCCCCCCCCAAGCAGCAGTTTCTCAGACCCAGAGGATGGAGATCTTCTTCTGTTGCCGGGCGGACGCAGCATCTCCCTGGTGGACCTGCAGGACCTGGACCCCCCCCCAAACCGCCTCAGCAGGGGGGGGGGCTCGCAGGCCTCCATAGGACACGCCCCCCTCCTCGCTCACCCCCCGATCAAAGCCCCGCCCAGAGAGGCTCAGCCGCAGAGCGCGCCGCAGGCCAGGAGGCCGTTTCACCCGTCAATCAACCATCATCATCCGCGCAGCCTGCAGCCAATCAGCTTCCAGAACCCTGTGTACCACCTCAGTAACCCGGGCAACCAGGGGAACCTGAGTAGCCCCGCCCACAGTCTGAGTAGCCCCGCCCACATTCTGGTTAGCCCCGCCCACAGTGTTTGTAATCCTGCCCACAACACAAGTAGCCCTGCCCACAATACAAGTAACGCCGCCCACATTCTGGGTAACCCTATTAACCCCGCCCACAACATGAGTAGCCCCGCCCACAACACAAGTAACGCCGCCCACATTCTGGGTAACCCTATTAACCCCGCCCACGTTCTTTGTAACCCTGCCCACAACATGAGTAGCCCTGCCCACAACACAAGTAACCTCGCCCATATTCTGGGTAACCCTATTAATCCCGCCCACAGTCTGAATAGTCCCGCCCACAATATGAGTAATCAGAGTAACCCCGCCCACAACATGAGTAGCCCCGCCCACAATATGAGTAATCAGAGTAACCCCGCCCACGTTCTTTGTAACCCTGCCCACAACATGAGTAGCCCCGCCCACAATATGAGTAACCAGAGTAACCCCGCCCATATTCTGGGTAACCCTATTAACCCTGTCCATATTCTGAGTGGCCCCGCCCACAGCCTGTCCTCTCGCTCCGCCCACTCTCAGCTCCAGGACTCCAGCTCAGAGAACCTCAGCACGGAGAGTTCTCACAACAGCCGCACCTCGGACGACCTGGGCAGCCAGGCGGGGGTCAAAGGTCGAGCCCCCTCGAACTGCAGCAGCCTGGACGAATCGGGGTCGAGGGGCGGGGGTTCAACGCCGAGAAGACACGCCCCTCCTCAGCCCTCTGACCTCCCATTGGCCGTCGCTATCCCCCGTCAGAGCACCACAGCTGGCACCGCCCATATTGTGAAGGTGGAGCAGAGCAGAGGAGGGGGCGGAGCCAGGACGCCACGCTCGCTCCCACACAGCCAACCACTACGCAGCAGCCCCAACACAGAGCCAACCCCCACGACAGGACACGCCCCCCAGATAGGACACGCCCCCACGACAGGACACGCCCCCCAGATAGGACACGCCCCCACAACAGGACACGTCCCCACGCCAGGACTCGCCCCCACGACAGGACACGCCCCCCGGGAACCGGTGACCGTAGCTCCGCCCCCGAGGAGCGCCGCCAAGCAGCCGCAACAAGAGGTAACAAAAAAAAATGAAATGCTTTTTAATGTAAGAAACGCTACTGACGACACAGGAGTCAGAGGCACAGATGTAATGTATTTATTATAAAAAGAATATATAATTAATTGAATGTCCAGGCGTCTCCGGTGGAGGTGATGTCTCCGGTGGAGCGGACGGCTGCCTGGGTGCTGAACAACGGACAATATGAAGAAGAAGAGGAGGAAGAGGAGGGGAAGAAGAGCAAGGAGGAGGGCAAGAACACCGAGAAGGTACCACACACACACACACACACACACACACACACACACACACACACACACACACACCACATTCACACTCACACTCACTGATAACGACTGAGTTTTTAGCATTTTTTTGGTTTTTATTCAGATTTTGAAATAGCAAACCTAGAAATGTGAAATTCACATACATGTTTCTTCAAAGTAAAGCCTTGCTCCTATTGACGTCACCTTGCATGCAGCAGACCATTGACTAACAGAGAGTGTTCCCTGCAGTACGAGCAGGAGATCTCTCGTCTGAAGGAGCGTCTGCGGGGCTCGGGGCGCCGCCTGGAGGAGTACGAGCGCCGGCTGCTGGCTCAGGAGCAGCAGATGCAGAAGCTCCTGCAGGACTACAAGCAGCGCCTGGAGGACAGCGAGGAGAAGCTGAAGAGGCAGCAGGAGGAGAAGGACAGCCAGATGAAGAGCATCATCTGCAGGTAGGACTGACTCCACCCGCCTGGGCTGCTGCGGCATGAGAAACAAATGCACCGATACATGCTACTGATGCCTGATAACGCCGAGTAATCGAAACAAAACTTCTGCCACGCCTGAAACTCCAGAACGAGATGTATGTCCTCCTGAGGGCAGAACGAGATGTATGTCCTGAGATCGTGATGTTTTTCAC